AGGGGGAGGAGAGAGAGGAAGGAAGCGGAGCCATCCCCGATCCTCACTGCCATTTATCGTTATCGCTAATCCTATCAAGCCGCTGCTTGCGTGCGGATCGTTGTATTCTTAGTAACGACCCGTCACGGTGCTGATCTTCCCCTCTGTGTTTTGTGGGCTCTGAGCATCCGAGCAGCCCCGCAGCTCAGCGCTGCGCAGCGGGCAGCTGCTCCTTCCCAAGCGCGTTCTTAAGCTCAAACTTCCACGCACGTTTGACTCGTCAGATGCAGGTGACGCAAAGGCGGCGGCAGCCCTGCCCCGTGCTGAGGAGCATCAATAGGAGCAGAGCAAAAAGCTCCGCGCAAAAGCGTTGCGGCAGGGCGGGTGCCGGTGCTGGAAGCACCACCGACCACGGCATCCACTTTCCTTTACCAGCAGCGCGTTTCTACAGCCGTAGCCGGGCAGGAGCGCGGCGGCGGGGTTTTGCGATAAGGCAGAGCCGGGAGCGCGCTGCCCTCTGCCGGTCGGAGCCCCGCACGGCTGTGCCGCCACAAAGGCCGCTTTGACGCAGCGCTCCGAGGGGGAGGAGAGGACAGAGGGGCAGCTGCAGAGCTCAGCCGACAAAGGAGGATTGAGGGAGCGGCGATCACGGCTCGGACAGCATCGCCCATCCGCCGCGACGGGCCGAGCACGAGGGGCAGCTCGGCAGGAGGGCCGGGGCAGCGTTTCGACCTACGACGCGCTTCTGTCAGCTCTGCTCGTTTACCTGCAGCCGTTGGTTGCAGCCAATCTCAGCGCGCAGCCCCACGGCATCCCACCGTACTGCAAGGAAGGTGTGGATCTTCGGAAGGTGACTAAAAGTAGTTCAAAAAGTGACTAAGAAACAAAAGAATGCAAAATAATTGATTTTATTTCAAATAAAAAGCAAAACCACAATCATCCAAACGAGACAGTTAAGAGTATCCCAGCTCTGCTGGACGGGGCCGTAAAAGCAGCTGATGGCAGAGGCAGGGCTGGGGGCTCAGGCAGGCTGCTGAACGATCAGTTTGCTTCTTCCTTCCCTCCTTTGCAAGAGGAATGCAAGAGGAATTCCTGTTGCAATGTTTATTTCCATTAGATTAGCACAAACGGCCATCTCAGCTGATTCAGTCAGCAGCCTTGCTTTCCACCCCACAACGGCTGGGGATTGGAGGAGGAAAAGGCTCTGGGTTTCTTATGAAAGAAGCTGCTGTCTTCCTTCCAAGCATGTAACTGAGAAGACAACGCAGAGCCAGCCCACCCAAGCTGCAGAGGGGAGGAAGGTTTGTGTGCCAGCGCCTCCTCAGCATCACCTGTCCCCAAGCACTGTGCAGCAGCAGTGCTGAGCTGTGTGCTGCACTTCTGAAGGGGCATTAATTTACTCTTGAACCCCCAGAGCAAACAAGCCTGCGCTGGGGAGCAGAGCTCACGGCTCCCTTCCCTTTGGCAGGGCAGGCACAACACCAGGAAGCCCGGCCCAAACCAGCACGCAGCTGCCAGCAGCCCCAATGGAGCAGGCTGAGCACGGGGCTGAGCAGAGCAGAGCTGCTGTGGGGCTCAGAGCAACGAGGGGCTGGCTGGGTCTGCTACATCCATGGCTCTACAGTAGGCAGAAGCAGTGGGGTTAGGAAGAACATCAACGCTGCAAGGAGCACAAGTGTGGAGAAGCGAGAGCACAGGCGTGCTCCCCAGCCAGCCTCCCACACGCACGGATCCAGGCACGAGGAGCAGCTTCAACGCTGTGCTCTGGCACGGAAGGGGCTGGGGAACATCCCCTTCTTGCTGTAAGGCCAATGCCCTGATCACAGTTAACTTACCCACTTCATTTCTTATTATTTTTAAATCCTCATCTAGCAAAATAGCAGAACCTCCTGCTTAGAACAAGTGACAAAATGCCAAATGTTCAATTCTGGTCAGACAAAAAGCCTCATTCTGCAATCAATTTATGTACCACGCAGCAATTCTGGAAGGACCAGCGGAGCAAACCATGTGGCCAAAAGTGCTGCACGACATCCCAAATGTTTTCTGCTAGGAAGAGCTAACGCCTGGTTAGGAAGCCTCAGCTTGCTCAGTATTGCTGGAAAACTCATAGGAGAAGGAAGTCAGAGCATCTTACACAGTAATCACATTTCAGCCTCACAACACCCCTGTGAGGTAGGTATTGCCCCTTAACAAAGACAGAAGCTCACCAACTCAGTCGAGGCAAGAGCCTGTAAAGGAAGAACCAGAGATCCCAGCAGTCCCAGTTCCCAGGCAGCACACACAGCTTTGCTTCCCATCCCGCAGAGCTGGCGGTGCTGGGGTTCATTCCAAGCACTGCCTTTCTGTAAGGGACCTTCAACAAACAGCCTCTGAGCAGAAACTGCTTCATTTCACCCCATGAAGAGTTCAGAGGCACGAAGGAACAGAATGCTCTGCGCTTCGGATCTTCCCTGCTGTGCTTCTGGTGGAGCAGCGCTCAGCCTGTGCTGCAAGACTTCAAGATGGCAAAGCTGATCTCTGCATGCCAAACACAACAGCGAGCTACAGCACCTTCCATACACAGCAACTGCAGCACCAAGGAGGGCAGGCAGCCTCCTCAAACACAGCACACTCCTGTCTCCATTCCTCCAAAGGCAGCAGCTCTTCTACCTGCTCTCTCTGAGGACTACATGGGTTGTGCAGACTCCTGGCTGTTCAACTGAGCAGGAAATAAAAGGCAACCCTGGGCAGAAATGCTACTGGTTTGGGAAGTTTGCTTCAAAGTGAAGTAATCTGGAATAATCTGCGGTGCCCTACAGGGCAGGCATGTCCACGTGCACTTATGTCTGTTACTAGAAGAAATGCAGGGGTCTGGACAGCTAAGGAGTACACCAACAAACCTTCTCTCCCTCCTCACCAACACACTGCTCCTACATGAACTGACTGGTGCTGGAATTTCAGAAGCTGAGCTCCTGCCAAATGGAGTTTGGGCTCCCTTGCACAACAGGACCCAGCCCGATCTCCAAGAAGGGAGAAAGTGTTTAAACAGGAAAGAGACAGGGTTAAAATAAATAAAATCCAACATTCCGGCTGCCATCAAACCCAGCAGATACAACAATTAAGGCTGCCAATCTGCTTTTTAATTCAGCCACCAGTTCTGGGCATCCATGCAGGATCAGTACATGCACGTCACTTTTGCTTTCAACCTGCCTCTCTCAAAGAATGGCTGATGTGAGATGTAAATATACAATAACACCACCTCCTGGGCCTCAGGAGAGCACTCAAGGAAGCATCCCAACACAGCCAGCTCCTGGCTGCACTGTGAAAGGATCTCTTCTAGAAAGGATCTCTTCCTCTCAGCACATCTCCATGAAGACAGACCTCTTTGCTGACACTACCAGCAAAAGCCCCTGTGAAAGGAACAGCAGATCCAACAAATCCCTTGGGGATGAGAGCTCTACCTGCCGTGATACAAACGCACCTACACAGACTAAAAACATCACATTTCATTTGTATAAAGCATCACACAACAATACGCCCCCCTCCCACTCCTTTAAAATTGGCACTGCACGTTTCTGAAGCCATAGCCTCAAAGAAAAGCCATTTACACACGTGAACCACACCGGCCCAAACAAGTCCACGGCCCCAGAACTGCTCAGTATTTAAAGCCCAGCAACTCTCGTTGCTATGTAAGAGTCAGATTTTGTCTGTTGTTGCCCGGTGCTGAACATCACACCTACACCTAAAGGAGTGTCATTACTGGCAAATGCTGACTTTTCCCCCCATGTTTTTTGCTGTGCAAGAAACTCCAGGATTCTCCGGCTCCATCGAGATTCCTATGGCAAGGTGCTAGTGCATCTGTCACTGCACAGAGCAAAGGTAAATGGATCGTGGCTGGATAAAAGGATGCACTTCAGACGTGTACGTGTGGATTAAGAGCACAAAAGATGCTTCAGGTGGGCAGTCAACTCCACTGAAGTGGCTTCAGTGCTTGGAGCATCCATCCCACCTCCGCCGCCATCCCGCTGGGCCGAAGG